TATGTAGTAGTGTCGATAGCAGACGCATCGGACGCCAGGCGACTACAAGAAGACATAGACTGGGTAGTGCAGTGGAGCTATACCAATAAGCTGTACTTCAACATAGCTAAATGCTGAGTGATGATGTGACAAACGGGCTAGGGCTCCACTTTGCTACACATATGAAATGTATTCCATGAATTCCATGCAATTGATTCTGAAATTTAACAGCATCCACGATTTATGAGTCAAATTGGTGCCTGATTTGACGTTTCATAATCATATCGTTACTACATGCGGTAAATCTTTTAGAAATTTAGGATTCATTTTGAGGAACTGTAAAGATTTTAATAACACGTCAGTGGTGAAGATATTGTACAATGCTCTCGTTCGTAATCATCTAGATGGGACCGCTATAATTTGGAATCCTCACGAGGCTAAATGTAGCCTTATGGTAATAGAAATCCAAAATAAATTCACTCAATTTCTGTATTACAAAGAATACGAGGTGTACCCACTATACCCGCTCATGTACCCTAGCTTATTCGTCCTCGGCATGGTCGGGTACGTGCGCCTGAACGTGAGGCGCGACGTGGCGCTGGTGACGTACGTGTGGCGCGTGCTGCGTTTTCGGCTGTACCAGCCCGACATACTAGCGAGTTTGAGGCAGGGGCACGCCGCCAGCCCCCTTCGCTCGGCGTTCCCGTAACGCGAACAAATCTGCTTCGATATGCCCCGTATATATCACGCGTCATAAGGCTTATTAATATTATTTCAATATATGTAGAAATCTGCAACTGTAGCCTGACGATCTTCAAAGAAGTTGCCCAAAGGTGTATTACAGCAAATTATGTTTTCTTTATGAAATAATTGCTACTTACCTTTTTTACTTACAGTGTCTGGTATCTTTGGGATAAGGATCCTGTAAAGACACTGTAAATGTTTTAAATAAATAAATAAAACTCTGAAATATTATAGATAAATCACACCCAGAAACAGAACAAATGATCGTGCTCATCACGCAATGTTTGTCCTGGGTGGGAATCGAACCCACGACCGCCAGTTTAGCAGTCAGGGTCATTAACCACTACAACAAGAAACCTTCTCATATATTTGAAGTCAGTTGTATTTTTAACAAAGATCTACATTGTTTGGATTTAAAAAGAAGAAAGAAGAAGAGCACAAAACCGTTTTTAAAGGGTCGCCAAAAGCCGACACACACCAAAACTAGTAGGTAATGGAGAGATAGAAAAATAATCAAATCCGATAGCGAACCTACGTACGTCTTACGAGTACAAAAAAAATTGATCAAATTACAGATTTCTTCAGGAATTATTGTACCATGTTACTTATTCCTTATAGTTGTTTATATTTAAGTTTTAGGTGACCCGTACTTATATTTTGATACATTAAAATTAAATTATTACTTATTAAACTCAGGAGATTTTAATACCTAACTATATTGCTGGTAAAAAATAATATATTTTGGTAGTAATAAAAACAGGCTTTTATAAGTACATGTTTTTTGCAAAAAAACAGGTAACAAAATTAAATGTTGTATAGCCCTTAGCTTTTCTCGGTAAAGGTACTTTTTTAACCGGACTAATCCCGCCCCCCTCTGAAACTCCTGTACACCAGGATCCACGACAATGACCTATGAATCGGTAAGTCCTAGGGAAAAATTAAACTTTTTTGGAACCCGCTCGATGCGGAATCATTTAATAATTACTTAATCAGAATAAAATTTGAGGAGTTAGCAATATAATAAATCGACTTCCCTTCTTAGCAAAGATTAATATATAGGAGAAAAAAAACAGGAAAGACCACAAAATATTACATTAACCTGACACAAAGACGCAGAACGACAATTTGTGGATCACACAAAGTGTCGTCCCAGTAGTTAGTGAGAAAAGAACAAACTCTACAGCTTTATGATATTAGTAAAGAATACTATAATTTTATTTAAAATAGCGCCATCTAGGTTAAATCCCAAGGGCTATAAAAAGTTGCAATTGTTATAGCATTCACTTTCAGGTCACATATTTTAGTTGTAATACGTGGAACATAGATGACTCTGATACAATTTTTGTTAAATTTGTGAATGTTGTGTATTTTTGTTGAATTTTGTCTATTTAACAGTAAATCTAGTAATTATTTTATTATATAGCTAACATTACCTAGATAATAATATAGCTAACATTACTTAGATAATAATCTTCAGCCAAGACACAAGCTACAAGGTTCAGGGTTTTTTCCTGGCTAATATTATATTATTTTATATCTAATAATCATTCATAATCTAAGATCTCCACTAAATAGTGAAGATCTTAAATTATGAATGGATAAACTCTGATCTGAATTTCAAGGTCCTTTTAAGGTCACTCTCATATTTCCTGATTTTATTTAATAATTAAAGAATCACAGTAAGACGTAACCATAAAACTAATATTTTCACCTCTAAACGCGTGAGTTTGACCTTGGATTGGTGACCTTTAGAGGTCAAAATTTTGTTACTGAAGGTCATATCCGATTGTAAATTTTTCCTCTCTCTTCAATTCCGGGCTCAAAAATAAGCATTCCCATATGTAAATTGCCCTTGGCTCTTGATATAACTTTCAAGGTTGCGATCAGTCTATTTCAAGGTCACCAATGGATAAATTCCTGTAACTTTTGTGTTTAACGTATTGCCGAAAAATGCACTCTAGCGAATTATTCTGCTGTTCCGGTACTTTTCTAACAGCCTGTATATAACATTTTATATCACACATGAGTATATCACATTAAGATTAATATATCAAATCGAGTTTTCTCAATAGTTAGTTTTTATTTCATGATCTGTTTTCAAAATAAAGAGTTTTTTGTTCCTTAGATAGATGTTTTCACCTAATTCATGTAGAAGCTGTTTTAATTTAATTTAGTGGATGGCAATGAAACTACATATTTATATAGTATTAACTATTCATATATTTCAATAGGTATCTTTTATAATTATAAACTATATCCTCTAACGCTCCGCGCTCAATATTTGGTTTAAGTCTAAGTGAAGACAAATCAACAGTTGTTGTCAATCAACTTATACTAATCAACAGTCGAACAAAATCTAAATGATTACATTTAATCAAATTATGTAAATGTAAACTTAGAAAGTATGTTAGGTTGTTCCGTCAGTTGAAACGTTATGAATACTGGTTCACTTTTAGGTAATAATTATATTAAAAAAAAACTATACTATTTAGTTGGGAATGTTAACTTTGGTATAAAATATTAATTATAAACAACAAAACATTATTCAACCTCAATACACCTCAATACACTTGAGAAACGAAACTTAAATCGAAGCATAAATTATGAGAAATACTGTTTAATAAAATAGCCTAAAACCAGTTCAAAAATATATTTACAGTAAACTGGTAAACTTAAATTTGTAAATCAATATTGTTTTAATAGCCCCACTTGCAAAACCCTTTTATAATGTGCGATAGATCCGCATTACTGTATCATTTCTTTTCTAAAGTTATATTTCAAACTAGGTAGAGAAAGATTGTAAACTTTCATACATATCTAACAGATTTTAAGCTTTGTTGGTAAGGCTATTAAGGTTATATTGTGATCGAGACGAAACTAAAGATATTTAAATTGCACTGCGCGGACACGCAAACATTTAAACTCAGAAAGTACTGGGATTTTACATATTTATACAAATTCAAATATCTAACATACTTTAAGAATCATTTTGTTTTGATTTAAAGATTTCTCTAATGCACCATATTTATATATAGGCTTTCTACTAGATAATCAAGGCTTAATTTAGTAGGTACCGTTTTCTGTATATCTAATTTATAATTCTGAGAATTTTGTTGTTGCAACTGTTGCTATGAAAGTTGAAAAAAAATTACATGTCTATGAATACCCCAGAAAGTAAACTTCTATAATTATTTCTACAATCATTCTTTAATTAAATAAACTCAAGTTTAATCAATTTACGACACAAACGTCATTTGAATATAGAACAAAATGAAAAGGGAAACATTCGAGACGGTACATAAAAATATGCAAATATATTCACAACTATTTAGTATTATAAAGTAAAAATATCTTTTGCGCGTAAAACAATCCCTAAGAACACAAGCGGTATTTGTTTTAAATAAAAGAAATACATATTGAATGCATCAATTTGGGCATAGGGCTTTTTTAGCTTACGAGTTATGAAAATGACAAAGTGAATATTGTATGTAGTCATTTTATCACTACTTCCTATGTATTGTGTGTTTAAGGAAGACAAAAGGTCGCTTTACCCGCAGTGGGTTTTAATCTTTCATTTTCGTCGAAAATCGTTGATTAATCGATACATGCCCGTGAATACCCTATATAACATTTTAAAGAACTATTGTCTCAAATAAGCTAGGTTATCACAACATTTACAACAAGCGAGTAGCCTAACATTAGACATTAAAAATTCAGTTTTGGTATAACAACATATAAAAAGATTCGAATTATATTCTCTCTAATTAGCTATAGGATCGTATCAAAGATTTAGCATTTCTCATTAATAGTCAGTCAAGCCACGACCTAAGAAGTATTTTAGTATTTACTAATATATCAAAATCGAGATATACCTTCTGTAAATAAATATAAGGAACAGTTTTGCTACTATAAACAATATAAATATTGCAACTAAGGCTATTTACTTTCAAAATATGACAAAAAGCAATGAAACCTCGGCGATAATAATGTAATTACTGTAATTCTGTCATTTTTCAAAAATACAGTCGTTGTATAAGAACAAAATATTGCACAATCAGGATTGGCTACAATGTGTGCACAGAGAGCAATATACATAAATATATATATTTAGTAGCAACACCGAACTACTGCTCTGAACATTTCGTTCAGCAAAACCTTCCCAATCCCAGATTACGTCCTCTACTTGGTCAATTCAGTTTTAAATCAGATCTCTTTCCGTCAATACATACATAGTGTACGTAAAATTGTACCCTATTTTAAATAAATAAGGTTTAAATTTAAGCGGTGGAGTCGTGATTCGAGGGGTTCGGGATGATGGTGCCGGTGACCTGTAGTTCCCGAAGTCTCCTCACTTCCCTGGACGCGTCCGCCAACTTCTCTTGTAACTGCATCTCTCTCTCACGTAAACATTTGATCTCATTTTGCCAGGTCTGTAAGTATAAAAAACAGTTAAATAACTTTTGAAAGTCAGTAAAATATTGATATTAACCACAAACCAAAATGCATTTTAGCAAAAGTGTAGGGAATTTAATAAACATGGGCTCTTTTAAAACGAAGCGCTTAATTTATAAGAGGAGAAACCGTAACAGTCCCCCACCACGGGGAGTTGGGTACTGTAATAAGTTAGTGTCTTATACTGCTTTATAGAGATGTTTGACATTTTTTTGTGTAGAAATTTCCAACGAGATTCGAATATGATAAGAAAATATACGAGTATATTACTGTTTTATGTATGAGGATTAATTGCTAATGGATAGTTGCATAAAAATTTAACATTTAAGTATATATATATTTTTAGTATAGTATTGCCCCGTAGTCAATCATGTTCGTTTTAAAGTGAGCGTGCAATAATTATAGTGCAGAATGAAACTATCTGAAGAAAATGAGGGTGTCAACAGTGTGAACAGTCGGAAAGGGCGGTAGATAGGTACTAACAATATTCTGTTTGAGCAGGTCGAGCTTGTCGTTCTTGAGGCGGCACACCTCCTGGCGCAACTGGTCGGCACCGGCGGTCGCGCCCCCCACCCCTCCGCCCGCGCCGCCCCCCGCACCGACCCCCGCGCCGCCCCCGCACCCGCCGCACGCCGCCGCCTCGGCCGACGACATCGACTCCAGGCCCGTGTCGCTGTCCACGTACATACCACCTGCAACATACGCTCGGTTACACCTCCGTCGTTCAAGCTTTCGGTTTACTCTAAAGTACGATTATTCACTCGCTGCAGACTGCCTGATATGCAACGCGGAAGCAAGTTTGTTCTCGATAAAAGAGAAGTTGAAGAGGATAGAGTTCTCTCCAGACTCTAAAATTATTATTATATTCTCATGATTTGACGTTGTTTACGAATGAGTCTGTATTAAGTAAATAATATTATCGAAGTTAAAACGAGTAAAATTATATCGAGTGTTACCGATAGAGTGAAAGCAAAATTGCGATAGGAACGCCTTTCAGGCCCTAACTAAAAATCTAATGAAACGATAATAGGATATTTGATTATCATATTGGTTAATAAGTTCATTTCAATCGCAACTGCAGCGCGAAAATTAAAATGTCCTTCCTTAAAAACTCAAAAGAGATATTAAAGTCTAAATCAAGCTCAACTCTTAATTATTATTTTTTGAAAAAGTTGTGATGGAAATCTGTTATGAATTTCAGCGATGCACGGATGTTAATAACCCTCGAAGTTGACATTTGGCATTTTTGTGTTTTGACCCTAAAATAGTAATACACATATGACACTATTTTTCAACATATGACGGAGAGCTCAGTTTATTCAAATTTCTGTAAGTATAATAATAATAATATTTTCAGACATCTCAAACTAAGCAGAGCTTGTGCTATGAATGTAAATAGGCTGATAGAAAACTTATTTACTTTTTTTTGTAAAAACATATTATATTGAAAATATTATACATGTATTATAAATTAGTATGAACTCATTGTTTTTTTGGTCCTACGTTTTTGTGACAATGATTAAAATTAACATTTTTAAAGAACTGAATACTATAACAGTGCACAAAATATGTGGTTACTAACCACCATATTAAAAATATAACCGTGCAAATATTTTATAATAATGTACAAAATAAGCAGTGTCCTATTTTACAGCAAAATTAACGAAAACACAAGACTACACATAAAAAAAAATCACAACGTACGTTATTTATTTCAAAACTGTATAGGACGAAAGTTTTAGTTACCCAAGTCATCCGTTTTGAATTTAAATCATAAACAAAACTTACACATGCGTCTAGAGACGACAGAAATGAAAAAAATAGAGTTTTAATATATACTATTTTATTCTACAGGACTAACCTGTTGCACTTTTGCCACAAATCAGCCAGTCCTTGTCGTCTAATAAAGAAAATATAACTTACAATATTACGGCAATTAATGTCATCATTACAAGTTCTATACTAAATGGGTATAAACATTTTAAGTTACAAATTTTTATTCTAATGTGTTAGAGTAGTGCAGCAATACTCAAGTAGCATGAGTAGAGTTTAGTAGTACAGTTTTATGTAAATCCTACTATTTATTGATACTTCTTTATTTTAGGTAATATCTAACAATATTTTTTTACTTGACTGGGGCAGTCACTACCTAATAGTAATCGCCAACGATAATGTCTACTCAAGGTAATCTACAAACTTGTATCTACTACTGTAGTTTAATCCCAAACAAATATCCCAATTCTTATTAAATTACATTAGTCTTTACAACTACGTGAATTGGCTGAGAGAGAGGCTCTGGTAAATAGGCTAAAAATTAATAAAATAGATGTCGGTATGTTTCAAAGTATATTATCAAAGCCTCTGTCAGAAGCGGCGTTGTTAGTTTATAAATGATTTGAACTATAGTCTATATTCCAGTATCATTAATAGCAGTATGTTCTATATACTTCAGTTAAATTTAGGAATTAGTACATTGTATGTTTAGGGTACGATGGGGCTGACATGGTCTTATGTGTGACTACAAGCCCCTAAATAAATAAAAACACGTGAATTATTATGTTTCCCCATATTTCTAAAATAATAATAATAATGTAATAATAGTTCGCACATCTGACACACAACGCCATCTAGTTTCAAACTAAGCAGAGCTTGTACTATGAATGATAGCTTGACTGATAGAAAAGGGTAGTTAAAGTATGTTTAAAATACCAAGCATACAAAAGACTGACATTATGTAATAAGAATCATTATCAGTACCATACATACCTACATAATTATATGAAATTTACTCATTTTCATAGGTTTTCATTATTATTTGACTAAATGTAGACTGATCTGATTAGATTATTTGAAAACAGTATACAACTGAACGTAGTATATTAATATAAAACAAAGAAAATACTAACCGAGCGGATCTAGGTCAACAGAGTTTAAGCTAGAGTCATCGCTATGGTCGGTAAGTGGGGGGCGTGGTGGGGCGGCTCGTGACGTCACGTCTGGGCTGGACTCGCCCGAGGCGTGCGATGCGCCCGAACCACCCGCCGACCTGACGGACACCGCTGATGCTGACGATGATGCAACCGATGACTTGGAGCGAGCGCTCTGCAATGTTGCGAAGTGATATACCTAGTTTAGTAAAGATTGCGAGATATGATAGTAAAATATTATAAAGGTGCTATACTTCAAAACAGTATCAATTATTTACAACAGTGTAGTGATCATTTGATTTTTCTAGAAGTCCATTTTCAGTTGATGTTTTAAAACGTTCTGTTAATGTTGTTCAACTGTGGTAGGTGCTTCTAAAAACTGTGATTTATTTAAAATTATCTGAAAATCATAGGATATTTTTATATGGTTAGGAGTCTATCGTGTAGCTAGTTGCCTATTCCAACACCACAAACTTAAGGAGAAGACAAGGGCTCTTTTCATTTACAAGTTTCTGATTACATTACTTATAAATGAGAATATTATTTACATATATACGTAGTGTGGAAACATTCACATTTATTTAAGACTCATTAAAGGAAAAAGTATTAAAATTTAACTTACATTAGGTGTATGAGTTTCATTTTGTATGTATTTATTCTTATTTATAACGTTCTTGTTGCCATCGCCCGAGAGATTCGTGTCTACACTTGGTGATCTGAAATTATTAACGAAAATTAATAATATTACTGTTGTAACATTGGATACTTGTTTTTTTTTTGCTGAATTTACAGTTCCACACAAAGGGAAATAATGTGTGCTTGTCGGCCAATGTTGTCACCAACATCCTTTAATAGTCCACAGCTGGACATAGGCCATTTCTTAGAAAGGAGGTTTTGGCCTACTATACCACGATGGTGAGACGGGTTTGTATAGGGTCTGTTTCAAGTTCTCCTTCTCTTTGCAGCGAGTTGTCCTGCGTAGTTTGCTCCCTTAGTCGGCTCTTACGATACCCACGGCATAAATTGGGGTGGTGACACTCCGTATTCTTAATCCACACGGATAACTAAGTTGTCTTTATTATGAATATTTATGATATAATTGTTATTAAAAATTAAATTCCAAAATAAGCATTCACTGTAATTTCATTCAATCTATTTTTTGGTCACAAGCATAATAATTTGATGTACAAATTAATTAAAGAAAACCCGTAAATACCTACCTTACTTTATTAATAATAACTTTCTTAACGGTATCGAAGAGCCCCGGTCTGGGGCAGTCCTGTTTCGGCGTGACTTCAGGTTGAGGAGACACTGCGCCCGGATCAATTCTTACACCACCTCCAAGGAATTCATTTGTTTTCCTCTTCAAATCATTGACCAAATTGTGCAATAAAGATGATCTTGTTCTAAGTTCCAGTTGCGCGAATTTGTCCGCTTTGTAACATGCGTTCTCTGCGTTAATGAGTTTAGTTAATAAGAACTCTTTAAACTCACGCCCCTTTCGGAATATTGAGGGTTGCGGGAGAGTCGGGCCGAAAAATGGTACGTCATCACGTGCGGTGACGGCCACCTTGTACCTAGAAGATAAAAGAAAAATAAATTATTACCAGACTGCACGTTTTGATTCGATATTATGAGACTGATACAATTCAAGAATTCCGTGTTCTCCTAGCAAACTCCTAATAAAAATACTTAAGTGTTATTCGAAGTCTATAGCCAACCCATTGGGCTGCGTTGGATAGACAGGATGGTCACATCTACGTGGGAGCAAAAGTGTACTAGAGTGGAGAAGGTAGCTGGGAGAGACTGGATGCAGAAATCGGAGAACTGTACTTCGACGCAAAATTGAGAGAGGCCTATGTCCAGCAGTGGACTGGACTGTTATGTCATATATGTCAAAGAATATGCATAGGAGTTTTACGTCAATACCTCGTTATGTGTTCTGAGACGTTCGATAACGAGATCCGCATAGATGAACTGTTAATGTATGAATTTGATTTTCAAAAACGTGAAGTTATTTGGGTGGCTTATTTAATAACAGCTCTATTAAAGCTCTCTAATTACATAGTCCGGATTCGTTTGCATATAAATGACTAAGAAAATTTCCATTCTACTTCCAGAGTCATTTTCTCAACTTCTCTATGCTAATAATACTTCGTGCGCTGTTGAGGAGCAACACAAAGTTTATGCTAAATAAGTCACTAGACAAGTGGGAACAGTAACAAAATCTGTGGAATCAAAAGTTGGGACGGGTGTTGTCAAGCAGCCACATGAATAAAAATAACTTTGTATTCTATAGTTGGGTTTATCACAAACTTATATATTTTTGTTCCTCGATGAAGCTGACTGAAAGAGATACAATATTGGGTGCACTGTGTGGTCACACGTAACACAGTTTTCAAATCTTCGATGAGGTTTTTATCACATTTAGCGAAATATATAGCTTATTCTCAAAGTTATATGACATAAAATGACTCTAAAATCAGTTTTTTAAAGTCTATTACGGTGTAAATAAATTATTATATTGCGACCCAAATAACTTTTTATCTTTTGATATCTAAGGACTGACTCTCATTCCGCGTGTGCTTTCTTCTAATTACTATTCTGCAATACTAGACATATTAGCGAATACGATTGTAAACAAAATCAGTGTATTTCGATCGAAACGTGACGATATTTGTAATTTACTGTACTTATATTGTATTTAGCATTGTACTTTTCTGTAGCATTGTACGTCTACTAGCGTTGATACCGGACTACCCCAAACTTAAGTATGTAGATGGGATTCATGTGTCATAGTCTTAGTAGTCAAAAACATTCTTGTAACTAGCTTATATTATTATAAAAAAGGGAAAAAACACTTTCAATGGCAATACTAAGTGTATCAAACATTTCACTATTTTAATTTGGTATTGATTTTTTGTGCATTGTATTTTATATTGTGAATGTTTGAAAAATAAGATGTGTTATTTACCTGGTCTCCCCACCGACATTCTCCAAGTGTGTGACCACGATGAATGTGTGGAGGAAGTGAGATGCAATCATGTTTGGTGTAAAGGGTGTTGCTTTTTCCTGCAATCACAAACATCAACACAATTACATCATATGATATTTATAATATGAAAGCATGTATTTATTTATAATATATATTTATAATATGAATACCAATGAAAGTACATTCAGCATTTCTGACGTTGAGGCACTGAGTAAAAACTATGTTCAATTCTATTGAATTCAATTTAAGAAAATAGTGACGTATCACTGAAGCCCTGCTCCCTGACAAATCATTTCTAGAAACTTACACCACTACAGTGTAATAAATAGCATTCGTTCAGGAGAGATTATTAAAAGATAATTTACGTCAATTGCAGTACCGTGATAAGGAAGAATGTATTACTTAAATAATAACAAATTCTTTTGCGAAACGTTAAGTACTGAAAAAAAGTTTAAACAGTTTGGAGAGAATAAAGTTGAAAACTTACCTGGAACACAATAGCCACAATATCATTGCCAACGTGTCGTTTCCTCTGCAATTGTTGCGCATCACCGACCGTGTGCGGTAGCAGTGGCGCCACGTGGAACATTATTTCACGGTCGTGGAACTTCTCGTACACCGCTTCCGTGCCTGTGTGACCATTTATTATGTCCAGTCCACCCCGATAGCCTAGACAACAAATAAAAAAAATATTTATTTTACTGCAATAAGACCCAAAAGAAATCCAGTTGTTCAACATTTAGAACTAAGAATATTTTTCCATTTTCTAAAGACAAATTATACTCTTGAACTTAACCTTTGACGTGTAGTAATTAAACATACAAGCAAGAACTATACAATCTGTGAATCACGCAGGGGTTGTTATCGATTAACGATGTACGGTATCAAGATATAATGTTTCTCTAGTATCGTCTATCACCTAAAAATAGGTCCTATCTAATGTGTCATACAAAACACGTAGATTCTAATTTCAAAATGTAGAATTTCGATGCTTTAAATGACATCAAAGAGGTACAGAAGGGAAATTTTCCCACTTATGTAACGCTTTTAAAACAATGATGTCAGAGATCATTCCAAATAGATTCGGATTACAAAATATAAAGGATAGGATTTATAGGCTTAATGCCAACGGATATGGTGCCAAATGTTCTCAGACGTTACCTTTGTGGTCCTTTAACTTGATCCTCTGTCCGAGCATGTCTAAGAACTCTTCAAAGGCTGGCGACGTCTCGTTGTTGCCAAACAACTGTTCCTCTGTCGTCTGTCCGTAAGTTTGGTACAGTACGCCGAATTTGAAACAGTTGACTAGAACATGTTCGTCGTACGCAGCTATCAACGATGACGCGTTGAGACACATGACAGCATTCAAGTTTAGTATGTTTACTTGCTCGTTGAGCATTTTAGCCATTCTGAGTGGTGAGGGCATTATTCCTGATCCTATAAAAAGACCAAAGATTAATATAAAATGGAGTTACATTAAAAGGGTCTCTCTCTCTCTCTCTTAAAGGTCTTAAAATATCTAGCTTGATTTTATACGTATCTTCATTTGGGGAGTACCTAATTACTAATTAATTACAAAGGTATGACAATGTGTAGTAAAGTCCACCCACATATTTCTGGTTTCGGGATTTAATTACGATTAAAGGTGAAGTTGGTTTTGCGGTTTATAAAATAAAAAAATACTTAAATGCAGTATAGAAAGTTGAAGCAAATCTTTTTGCTAATTACATTGTTATACTAAAAAGAAACTTATTGAGAGCTAAACAGACCAGTACCTAAAATTTTAGTGCCATTACAATTTTACTATCAATAATACTTATTTTGGAAAAACTTTTTTTTGGGAAAAACAAGAAAAAAACAATGAGCGGAGAAGCATTCGAGATCATATTGTAATAGCAAAACTAAGTAAGACCGCATAGAGACAACCTTCAAGAAAAGAGCGTACTCCTTCCTCAAAGGCTGGCAACGCGCTTTCTATGAGGTGACCCGTCTGCTCGTTTGCCCTCGTGCCGTATTCCATAAAAAAAGACAAGGTTTTGAGTACCTATATGATAAGAGTATAAAGGAGTACAATTAGAAAGCAAAAGAATGTACTTACTAGGGGTGGGTATAAGTCCATACATAGTCTCCGTGCATAGTCTCAACAATATCCTAGTCTGATCTTGACCTGCCATGTGTTCGTTTTTCAGAGACATGACTACTGGGCCCAGATTATCATCAAATCCGACCAAATTGATGTGCTCCTGCAACAAAACAAATTTCAACTCAGACTCATAATAACTAGAAGACATCGGCAATTAAATCATTAAAACCGAAACAATCAATGTATGACGTCTCATTATCTAAAAAAAATCTGTCTTCATACGTCATGTTACGTAGATTGGTGAGCATCGAGGTAAATACGAAATCATTTAATCAGAACGACACGTAAGTCTTATAGCACCACAAGTTACGCATTCCATGTATAAAAACATATTTGATATTAATTGGTTTACGTATTTTGTATCTGTAAAAAAACTCTACAACCTGAACTTTAACCCTTATTTCGATGGAGAAGTTGGTAATAAAATAAGGCAAATTTTATTTAATTATCTTGTTTCCTGGTTCTTCCCGAGTCACAAAAAAATAAAAAATAAAATCTAGCCCCTACCATTTAAAAAAAAAACGGTGTTCGCCATACCGGACATTATCGAATCTGACTAAACAAAGTGATAAAACTGCTTGTCCGCCCTAACGGACTTTAGCAAATACGTGGCAGGACCTGTATGGTGAAAAGGAAACGATGTAAGTAGTCAAATAAGCCGTGGTTTAATCTTAGTTTATAATTAATAACAAATGAAAAATGAATAAAGTTATTATTAGAAATACAAATAAAATAGATAAAATTAGAACGTGCATTTATCATGCATTATTTAACATGAAAACTCAAAAAACAGTTTCTTGGATTTTTTCCCGTCACAAAACAAAGGCGTGTGTCGCATTTCAGGCAATAAACCGTAGTTTTTTTATTGCAGTACATACAACGACCTTCTTCCTTCACTGAAGGAAAGTGCGCAACTCCATCATAACGTGAACTGTCAGCTGGTCTTGGTTTACAAACGTGCTTGATCGTGCTTTCTTCCGTTTTCTGATATTTAGCACTTCTATTTGTGCTGATTAAACCACGGTATATTTCATACCGGAAATCTTTCAGCCGCATGTATTTACTGTCAGAGCCTTTATGTTTGCGATACAGGATCCACGCATTGTTCACGCAAATATCAATCATTTGTGCAAATATTGCCATGTACCAACGCTTACTCCTGAATGGAGTTCTGTACAAGGCAATCAGCATGTCAGATAAATCGACTCCGCCCATGTTTTTGTTATATTCCTTCACAATATTAGGATAATCAACATCGACTTTCCTCTTCGCAAACTTACAATATCTCTTGATCCTATGGACTGGTTCAGCATCAGTATAGGAACTGATAAGAGTAGCCGCTTTGTTGTCGTGCCACCTCACAACCGACAACTTGTTTTTGTTGCATACGGTTTGACTAAAGGCTCCTCTATGTTTCTTTTTTAGTGCCTTTTCGCTCACCAATTTGTTTTCGGCTCCTCTAAGGCGGTTGCTTCTAATAGTGCCCAAAGAAAAGGTACCATAATTTTCACGCAACAGATAAACAAGTTCAGGCGACGTAAAGAAATTATCAAAACAAACCGTTGCTGGTTTGTCCCGGATAGTCTGGCAAAGTGCCAGTACAACTTGGGCACCAAATCCTATCGTTTGCTCTTCATCAGTAAATTTGTGATACCTGAATGTATCATCGCCCCCGTATGGCAGAAAATCGTAGATCATGCCTGAAGTTCCAGCTCGAACGTACATTTTGAAGCCCCATTTGGTTGGCTTGTCTTTCATATATTGGCGTCTTTTGCCTGCTTTCCGTCCTTTGTACGGCACCATCATTTCATCTACGCTGAAAGTGCGTTCGCCTGTTACGCTTTCCTGGGCCATACAGTTTTGTCGTATTCCCTCAAGTAATGGGCGAACCTTGTAATACCGGTCAGAGTTATCAAAGTTATTGTCTGCAAAATGTAAAGTTTGGCGGATTGTTTCATACTTCTTCAGAGGCATGATACTTGCAATTTTATCGTACCTGTATTTTTTGCTCCAGTAGTCTAAATATGACGGTAACGATACTATGCCCATCAGAATATGAATTGCAAGGAAATCGCGGAATTCGTCTTCAGTCAAATTTATGGAGCGGCCAGTATTTTGCACAGAATATGCGTTCGTTTCTTGCACAACATTTGCCATGACATTTTCGGAGAAAAACATTGAAAAATAACTAAAAGGTGAACAGATTTCGGGAGGGTTTTCAGTTTCTACGGAATCTTCTATTTGAGCTCTGTACAAAAAATTACACTGTTTCCATTTGTAAGTGAGGGAAAACTTTTGAATTCGCTTCGGTCTCTTTTTTGTTACTACAGATGGTCCTCTGAGTCTTCTCTTTCTGTTTACAGGTGTGGGCAACAAGGGAAAAGAGGATATGGACGGTAAGTTCGAGTAATTGGGTTCCTGCGACTGATTTGGGAAAACTTTTTGTAAAATCGGAGTCAAAGGAGTCTGGTCAAGGTCGTCGTCGGTTTGAATATTTGTTTCAGGAGGATCTTCATCGGGACTATCTAAGATGTTTAAGCGCTCTAGCGAAGATGCAATAGATGGTGCAGGTGAACTGAAGTTAGAAGGATCAGAGTGTGATTCAAGCTCATTTTCAGCGTCGGAACTATCACCTGTTTCAGATGGTGCACGTTCTTTAGGAATAAGTGCCAATATCTTTTTCGTGCGTTCATGCAGGCAAGACTAAAACAAAGAAAAACTAAGCAAACCACACCACCACAAAAAGGTAATTACCTACACAACACAGGCAAGTACGTGCAGATAAATAATGTCAGTCAGAGTCACTCACGGTGTAACACTTTCGAATCACAATGTTAGCAGTGTAAGTTTGACATTCGTTGCACAGTGAGTGTCCATGACTTTACGTAAGTATTTATGTAGTTTAAGTAGTTAGTAGGTAGTTTGTTGCATGTAAGTGTGAAGGTACGTAGATAAGTAAGGATTTTTCAGGCATTGCACATGTGTAAGTCAAAATTTAATTTTCGGCAATGTCCGCCACCACGCACAACTCAAAACTAACGGTTTTACTACATATTTCGACGATGTCCGGTGTGACGGACAAGGTAAATAACACAATAATTACTGATATATCGACGAGGTCCGGTGTGGCGGACAAGAAAAAAAACGTTATTTACAGTGAATGACTCGAGCAAAATCGATGGAGTATGTGTTATCTGAATGCTAGTAATGTAATTCATAAAAAACAGACAGAAAAACTAGTCAACATAAACAAAAATAATAGATTTCGAGTAAATTACCTGGAATGTTTTCATTTTGCGCGGTTTCACCGACATTTTTTTGGCAACTGTCAGACTCGGGGTTGCCATACCCATAATTCATTTTCTTACAATGGCGTACAAAATCTAGCAACAGTTTGGTACAATTCTGGTGTTTAAAATAAAAACAGACACGAAGGTAGTTTTTTTTTAAGTTCTTGTCCGACAGCACGGACAAATTCGAAATAAGGGTTAAGAAGGTTGGACAGATTTTTCTAAAAAGTTTTTAATATTACTGCAAATGTTTGTTATAATGTCTGTCAATGTTTTTAGGCAAAGAAAAGTTGGAAAGGTCTTCCAAACAATAGTTAAAATGTATAATTTTCTTTGATGGAATAAAATAAAATCGATAAAATAATAATCTACAGGACACCCCATATCGATTTAGCTAATAGTGACATTTATGATTATGTGTAATGGATTACATAATTCAATGTATGGAAACATAATCCCCTGGTTAAAGCCATAAACAAATCTCATTGTGGTTACCAAAACGTACAACGAAAACAGTATTAATTTGAATCGTGAAAATGAATAGGTTACTTTGTTTCTGGTAAATGCCAAACAATGTTGGAATCAAACAAAGCTCAGGTAATTGGATTAAGAGGTTCCGTTGCAATACACATACACCTTGATAATAGTTATTACAGTAACTGGAAAAATCGGGCTAATTAGGTAGGTAACAAAACCAATATTGGCCGTCAAATAACAGTAAAATATCCATCAAGCAAGCCTCACCTATAAACCCCACGAAATATCATAGGAACAGCATATTTATGACCAAGGTTATTTATATAAGGGTGATAATATTTTCATTAATGGACTTTTTATGTACATATATTTGTCAATAAATGATGGAAATAACAATAAAATAATTTGAGACTGTCAAGATTTTGGTCTGTCTAATTTAAAATCAGGTGACTGTGTGTGAGGTGCATGATTAAATAATACAGATACAAAATAAGTCGCCGTGCCAATCAGGCAATGACTCGTATTTAGGCTGGGCTCACCCAGTATTTATTGCTAATAGTAATTTTGCTACAGCTTAGATAGAATGTGTGCATATGTGTGTATTGTGTATAAGTACATATAATAATGATCGGTTCATTAAAATATACTTCCTACACGATTTTTATGTTTCAATGATAATATGTTCGATGTAAAAAAGACAAAGGAACATGGCGACCGAATGGCGTAGTGGTTTGTGTAACGGACTGCTATTCCAAAGGTCGCGGGTTCGATTCCCGCTCAAGTCAAACATTTGTGTGCATGAACATTTAATGTTTGATTTGGTCTGGGTGTTTCTATGTATAATAAGTATGTATTTACAATACGTTGCGTTGTGTGAATGTGGTAAAAAAAAAAAAAACAAAAAAAAAAAAAAAAAAAAAAAAAAAAAAAAAAAATAACATCCAAAATAACATCCAATGTTACGTTAAAGAGAAGAGTTTGAATAACAGATTAGTAAAATGTACTTAAAAACTGTTAGATTTTCTTCTTAAAATTTTCACCATTAAATTGACCGGTAACCGGGTGATATATTAAGGACGTACTTTAATAGAAGTGACATCAAGGATAATGATCAAGTTGATCTATTTGACATTTGACTAGGTACAGTGTAGAGCGTTATTATTGGCTAAATCAGGACACTAGCCGATGATGTCATTTCACGTAATGCGAACAGATTTTTCCACGCCTACAAGAAAAGAAGTACGATAAATGTAAGCAGCAATAACTATGTGAAGAAACGGATCTTATGTCTCTCCGACTCAAGAGGCCTCGAACTGGGCTGGGTGAACACACT